TTATTTTATTCATTTTAGCTTAAGGGTTTATTTCGTTCATTTTAATGTTGTTTTCAGTAGTAAAGTATCCAATAAATAAAGGAGAAAAACACCTTATATTTGTCAATAAGGCTTGTGACTGGTTGAGAGGAATATGACTTGATTGATAGTAATATACGGTTGGAGATGAATAAAAGTATATTATCTTTATTCCTAGTGCATTAGAAACAGTTTCCAATAATTAGACGTATTTGATTCAAAACAATTAATTCTGAACCATAACTATGTAAACATTATGTCGGAAGATGCATGATTGTGGATTTGGATGATTTTTTAACTATCCACTAACAGCGTTTGCAGCTTAAATTTTTCAGAAAATGAACTTAGCTGGTTTTGAAACTAGGCCACAATCAGGGCAGGATTGTTAAAATAACGTTTATTGATACTTTAATGTTCAGTTGAACAACTATTAAAAGATCACGCTATCCACGTTCTTTTTATCTAGGTACAATTTTTTCATTATTTTGTTTTTTCAACACTACAATAACTCGTTTTTGAAGCTTCTATATTACAACTTCATAGCATGGAGTTACTTGTAGCACCATGCTAGATGCAAATAAACTCGGCACAAGGTCGCTAAAAGGAGCAGGTTGTCTACAAACTGCTGATCTCCTTCACCACTTCCCGCCCATAAATTTATGAGTGACGTCTTTGGTATTATAAATCGAATACCGTCAACGTCAATCATTATGATGTTTGCTAATAAATTTATAAAATGTCAGTTTTGATCTATATTTTTGGAGTTTCCTTGTATCATGTATCACTGGAATTGTTGTTCTTGAGTTGTTTTACTGTTGGTTCTTTAAGTACTATTGAGCTCACAAACTTTTATGTAAACTATGTCAAGTTATAATATTGAAGGCCCAATTTATAGTGTGAGTACTTGTAAAACTAATTTAAAGTGAGAAAAGAAACTGGAAAACCCATTAGTTTTCAAAGATTTTCAAAAATCCTCAGTTAATAGTGAATTGGAGCTGCTATCGAAAATATGTTGTTAATCATGCTAACAAAAAAATTGCAATAACCATTTTTATAAAAAGATTTCGAAAATATATGCCATTCAAGGATAATGAACTACCTGCAAAGGAATTAAAATCAGGAAGTATAAATTTTTGTCATGTTACATACATACTTATTAAACCAGATAAATCATTTAGAAATTTTCGTCTTAAAGAATAAGCCACAAGAAGAGAATAAACACAGGTAGTGAATGAATTTTTTGAGTCGTAAGACTCTGAGACAGCTCTATATATGACTATAAAAAATTCCTATGACAAGTAGGTACTATTAAATCGAGTCAGAGTTGAAGAGATTGGAAATGAAACATTCAACATGAATGTGAATATGTGGTGCATGAGAGTTGGAATTAGAGTTTTTACAATGAGGGACCTATGCTAACATTTACGGCCCCCTCAAATCTTGGGCCCAATTTTATTTCAAAATCAATCATGATGTCATCAAGTAGTTTATACATATAACCAACGATGCATAAGTTTTAGTCATTTTCCTGTGTCGAGAGAATTTGTAAAAGAACTTTCAGAATTTGAATGATTGTTTTGTAATTTCGGAACCTTTCAATTTGGTCAGATTTATGTATTCGATACTGAAAACAGTAACTAATAAAAGATCAGCGCAAGACTATCACCGTTTTACTGTTCAAAACTAATATAAAAAAAAACAGAAAATACAAAATACGGCTTTTTATTTTTGTATTTGCAAAGTATTTTTGAAAAATAATATTTAACGTATATTATTAGTATTTTAAAACATGCCAAATAATATGTCTTATAGACTAATTGCGTCATATTATTATTACTATTATTAATATTTTTCGTCAATTTTCTTTCTTGATCGGCTTATTTCATTGGTACTGTTGTATTTCAACAAATCAAAAGTCTGCTATTGCATCTTATCCATAATTTTACTTCGATAAATCATTGTAATAGGACGCAAAGAAAAATGAAAATGAAAAAAATGAAAAACAGAGAAAATGGCGGAACGTTATACTCATATATTAGTGAATTTCGATGCGTTGACCATACTTTGGAAACAGAACTCCCCTAAACTCCACTACTTATCAAAAGGAGCGATGTATCATTGGATTCCTTAGAGTGTGTAGGTAATAAGAAAAACCGATGAACTTTTGCGAATATTCATATAATTCGAAGAATCTTATAATAAAACGTGAAAACGCGCGTGAAAAAGGTCTCTTGGCTCTTTGAGCCATACATTTTATTTCTCGATGGAACTTTTTTTTAATGTGACATCTGAGCAGAAGTCAGAATTGTAAAATTAAAAAATGGCCTATCCAACATGGCGGACCAATAATTCAAAGTTTTTAATTTTCATGAAAATCAGTGCCTGGGGGTTTTTCGAGTCGTTGATTACGAATCAGAAGTCCAAATTGTAAAATTCAATATGGCTGATCCAATCTGGCGGACCAATACTTCAGAAAAATTTGTAGTTTTCATGAAAATCAATACTCGGGGGTTTTTCGGATCGCTGATTACGAATTAAAAAAAAACCCTCAGGACACTATTATAAGAAATATTTCAACTACTTATTTGGATTCACAGCTTTTTCTATTTTTTTTTTCTAATAATTTATATCCATTCGTTTATAATAAAAAACGATGCTGCGAAAAGATCTGAAAGTGTCTAAATCGGCGTTCCGATATTGAAAAACTTTAGTGGAAAATGCATGTCTCTCATAAAAAGCACATATTTTAAAAAATTGAGCTTATGAATTCTGAAGTTAATGTTCTATGTAATATTAGTATTACCATTGTATAAGTATTTACTTATACAATGGTATTACTGATATTTGAATTCGAAAAAGGTAATAATGATATGCGGAGATTAACCTGACTTGTATTATGATTTCTTGCGAAACCATTTTTATTTTTCGGTTTTGTACAAATTGCCGTTTCTCAATTCCCCGCAACTGATTCTTTTAATAAAAAATTTAAGGTGTCAATACCTTAACTATAATGTCTACTTTGAACTCATTCAGCGATATTTTACAAATGCTGTAATTTTCCATATGTAAACGGAATTAAGTTCAAAATCGCTTGTATTAGTTACAACCTCCTCATGGTAGACCCTGGAAACTACTCATTTTGTAGACGAACTGCAGGCGTTTCAATTACATAATCTCATTTTGTGATTGTACAGTCATCGTATTGGATCCGCCATTTTAAATTTCTGAATTTTTAATACTGATTCGAAATTAGCGACCCAAAAAACCTTTCAGTACAGAATTTCAGCAAAAGCGGAGCATCTTTAGCATTTTTGTCCGCCATATTGTATCCGTTATGTTGAATTTCTAAATTTTGATTACGGATTCGAAATCAGCGACCCCAAAAACCTTTGAGTACCATATTTCATAGCAATTGGAGCACTTTTAGTATTTTGGCCACTTTTTCAGGTTCCTGGCCCATAGTGTAATTGAGTAAAATACCTAGCAATCAAATCCATTACAAATCTTTTTCAAAATTTCAGACGATTCGCGCACCTGTGTCTACCAATGTTTCTTGTGCCAAATCAGAGTTTCACTAGAGGACGACACTTTCCGGGTTCTTTGCACTTTCTAGTTCTAATTTTACAAAGCTATACATTATTTATTTTTAAACAAACGTTACATAGAAACTTGCTTACTTTGTCCTTTTTATGTTTATTTTCATAAATTAGTGGTTTTTAAGACTGATGTTTAAAGTATAGCCTTTCCGAAGTGAGGTGAACATGCAAAAAAACGTCTGGTAATAAAATTTAACGAGTTCCATAGGCGTCCCTAAAAAAATGTTCTGCTAAAGGTAAAAAATTATAATAATTTGTATATAATATGTAGAAAATTTCTATTATATGTTCATCTGGCCAACAACATATTTTAATTATTTTTGTCCTCAAACAATTTTATTATATTGGTGGTAAATTTCGTTTTGTTCCGTTTCAGAAGGTCTCCAAAATGCCATGTTGTGATAATATTAGTAAACAAAATATCCCTCTTACTTCTCCCTTTCGCAATTGTAATATGAAGAATATATAAAGAATAATATGAATATTGATCGAAGGTGCCTATAATAAAGTAAAATTACCCGAATCACACCAAATTCCGCATTGCTGCACTGCACTGCTGGGCAATTTACCAACCACTTGTAATTTGCCTTGATTTATTGCCCAGTAGCTCAATACAACTTGTTTACCACGTTTAGTTCGACCAGACCTATATAAGGGTATGGCTAAATAAATATTACAATAATAATAATATATTTCAAATATTTCAATGCCGAGTTGCTGCGTCAGCGACCGAACCTGGTACATACTATCAATCTGTTGGTTCTTCAATTGATATCGGAAAAACTATACGATAATTTTTCGGGTTATTATGCAGTTGCAGAATTACATTCCACTTCCTTAGCCTTAGCTATGTTGTTCTCAGGCTACGTTCTTTGAGGGCGGACGCGCTGTTAGAACTCCTAGACTCATTCTGATTTTGGTTCTAAAGCCAGTACGGACGGAATCGCTCCTCAAACAATGGTAATCCTCCGAGACGTATCGCCATTCTTCACTGTTAACATATTCTCATTGGCTTAATTTTTAGCGAATAACTGCATGTGGAGCCTGTTCTAAACTTATCGAACATTTGGCATTTATATATTTAATTAAATGACTATTCATTTCAATGCCTGTTACCTTTTTCTTCAGAGAAAAGTTACTTTCTTGATATATTCATTTAAAATAAGAAAATATTTGAGCAACGCGTAATATTTATAAGTACCTGCCTGTTTTTTTGCTATTTAATTGGTTTAATATTATTTTTTAAAAAAGTTAAATCATTAAAAATCAAGCTCTGTTATCTTATCGGGGTTAAGCTTTTAGTAGTAGGTATATTGTAAAATTAATGTTACCTGTCACATCGATACCCTCAGGAATCCAGTTTCTTTAACCGTATTCTCTTTCCAGGCAGTCATAAAGAAATCGAAAGTGACCTGCAAATGCCACGGAGTCTCCGGCTCCTGCTCCCTGATCACTTGCTGGCAGCAACTCGCGACCTTCAGAGAAATCGGTAAGTCACACCTGTATTTCAGTGTACTTCTGCAACTACTTTTCCAGCACAAAATAAATCTCTCGCCACCTTTTTTATTTCTGACTTTAGGAAATTAGTTTCCTTTAAATTTAAAACAAGTTTAAAAATAGTTGTTTTATACACGCGGTGTATCATTTAATACTGTAACATCTTTATAATGCGTTTAGCTTTTGCTACTTTTTTTTCAAAATAATTAGGTTCTTCTTGTAAAACGAGATTTACTTGGTTAAAATCTTAATTGAAACACCCCGTACAAAGAGCTTTTTTTTTAATCGTCTGAAGTCAATGATTCCTTTTATTGCAATTTAATTTAAATTTAATATTAGCGTCGATATGCAAATCTCATCCAAAAACACATGTTTTAGGGCGATTATAAGGTTATTTGGCCAAAAAAGAAACAAATGAGAGCACTCTTCGGTATCTAGTCAAGCTTTCGAAAATATTTTAATTTTTTTTATCAAGAACAGCTACAATAAATTACATTCATAAAATCAATTTGAAAAAGTTTTAATACTTTCTAACATGAGTATGAAGTTTAAAAATTACTTCATCGGATAATATAATGTTGATAAAATTATATAAGTAGGTACAAATTTACAAAACATTTAAAAAAATTTTAAGAAAATGTACGTAATATTATATTTAATACAAAAGCTAAAATTCTATTTTAGCGTTCATTCATTTTTTCTAATTTAAATATTATATACATACATATTTAAGTAACTTTTAACACTTGTGTTTATATGTGATATTTTTTATTATTTATATTTTGTATTTGTTGTTTCCGTAAGGGTTAAGTGAGTGGCTTAAATCTAAACTTTATTATTATTTTATTATACAGACAATTTCTTATTATTTATTATTTTATTATATTATAGTATTTTTCAAATTTTGACATTTGCCAAGATATACTTAGTAAAAGGTTTTGATAAGGAAATAAAACATTTTTTAATAATTTTAAGTTTATTTTGTATCTACAAGAAATCCTAATTGATTTATACAGAATGTTGTTATGCATGTACTATTAAAACAATTTCTTGTTATGTATTTAATTGTAAGTAAAAACGACAACGATTTAATTCATTTGCTTCATAAACTTGATAAGTTGGCAAGTAAGCTGTAAAAATATAAAAATTATGCATGAACTGTTATAATAATCTCACTTTCCGGAGAGTATACCTAACCGAATATTTGTACAATATTGGGTTAAATTCAATAGTTCATATAGTTTGGAACTTTCAAACCATAGAAAACTTAATATTAACACTATATTTTCTATGTCTCAAACTGAATAAAGAAAGCAATTCACCACCATTAAAAATTTTGTAAGCATCTAAGTATCAAAGGTTTCATAAAATATTAGTTGGAGTTTATCATCATACACATAATTATTTTTATCTATATTTA